AGGCATTTAAATAGAAATATAAAAGTTGCCATTAGAAAGAAACATTTTGGGGACTAGAGAAATCGCTTGGTAATTAAGAGTATTTGTTGCTCTTTCAGAAGACCAAGGCTTGCTTCTTAGCATCCACATGGCAGTTCACAACATCTGTAACTCTGATTCTGGGGACTCCAATAGCATCTTCTTGTCTCCACAGGCACCAGACCAATAAGTAGTACATAGATATACATTCAGGCAAAATATTCATACACATAAATTAAATAAACCTTTTAAAAACTGAAAAATTTGGGTTTTCCATTCCTTTGCGGTACTGTTAATGAAGCTAATTTCAAAGGTGAGTAGCAGATAGGGACTTTTGAAACTCCTAAAAATGATATTGTTAGAAAGATTTTATAAGGATTTTAGGACTTTTCTACTATAAAAACTTACAGCAACAACAAAAAAACCATCACACCTTTATTCTTTTTCTTATATTATATTCATTTTTAGGTTGCTGGTGATTACATCAGAAATTAAAATAGCATCTAAAATACTAAGTATCTCTGGTTTACCAGACAAGGATGAGAAAAGATGCATCCCAACATACTGTCTAATGGCCAGTTCACTCCTAAGATATTGCTCTTTGGTGTTTGTGACAAGGTTTAAAATGGTGTGTCATGAGAGGGCAACTTGAAAGAACTGAGAAGTGATAAGTTGAGAAAAAGAGGTTTCTGGGGAAGAGGTTGATCTTTTTACATACTTGAAGATATGTCATGGTAGAGGCATTTGATTTATTTTGTGCTACTCCAAGGGATTCTTTTCAAGACTGGGAGATATAAATATCAGTGTTGAATGGAAAATGTCCAAAAATTCCGTAAGGGCCTAGGGAGAAATTGAGTGTCTTTTCTTCTGAGTTGCTTCAACACAGACTACCTAACCTCAGATACTACATCAAAAGTAATGCCTGAGCATAGGAAATCTGCCACAGGAATGTCTGGATGACCTTCTGTCCTATCTCTGCCTCTTGCATGCTAGGACATCAAGCAGAAGTTGAAGCCCTGGGTCTCAGCACCTGTCTCATAAATCTATGGATGTTCACAGATATAAAATAGTAAGGAGAGATTTTAGGCAGATAGTAGCATGTCTTATAATCCTTATAACATTCTATAGAAAGGATTTCTTCAGAGTAAGAGGGTTGATTAAAATTTCTTCCCATGCTAAGATTGTTGTAATGGAAGACTCAATCATATTTTTAACTTTATGAAAGACCATTAGGCCCATAAATCACCACATAGTTCCAAGAGACCCAACATGATATATCTTACTAAGTCACTGTAAAACCAAGTACAAATGGATACACACAAATTCAAGAGAAGAGGAGCTAGGGAGATGGCTCAGCAATTAGGAGCACTCATTGGTTTGGTTACCAGAACTCACATGTGGTTCACACCTATTTATAACTCTAGTTCCTGAGGATCTAACAATCCCCTTTGGCTTCCTTGCACACCAGGAACACTCATAGTGCACATACATATATGCAAGCAAAACTATATATACTACCTAACCTCAGAAACTACATCAAAAGTAGCATATTGAATATATTCAGTATGAGAATATTGAATATAAGAAGAGATGAGTGTACAGTTTGTAAGGCTGATACAGTGATGGCTGTTCTGAAGACTGGCTCAAATGTTAATTTAAACAATTACTCTACTCCCCATTCTATCTACGTGTTTTAGCACACATAAATGGCATAAGGTATTTTATATGAATTCTTGAGAGTGTTTTTTTTTAATTTCATGTGAGCAAACCAGGCATATTGTTAACAATATAATTTAAGCTAAATTGAGCTCCTAGTAAATTGCTAATGGTTTATTATTATTCACTGGAATACATTTACTCTGCTAATGCAATAGTCTAGCTTTTTATTATATGTTAATAGTTTAATAGTACAAGTTAAATGCTATTAATAAAGTGCTAAAACTAATGGGGCTCATTTGTAGTATTTCTGGTTTTCTTTAGCATTTTATTAGTGAAGCTGAAAGATGTGAAGTGACAAATAAGAATACTAAACAAAAATCACTGTGAAGAATTCAATATCAGTGATGGAAAGCTTGAATTGCATGCTGCCAGCTAACTCAATGCATGGTGTGGCACTGTGGTTGGCACACGGCTATGGCAGCCTAAGGCACATAATGAGAGCAAGGGACTACGTGATAAACAGGCTTCTTCCCTTAAATTTGATTTCTAGATCAAGCTATAACAGAGGCAGAACCAGACAGACACAATATTTAGTATATTATGAAACAAAAGCGAAAGGGTGTCAAATGTATTTCCTCTTCTACTTCTTCCTATAGTGGGTGAGTACTTCCAATCGTTAGCGTCCCACTAATTTTTTAGTTTGTTCATTTCTGTAGGCGTGCTGGTATGATTTTAATGTCTATAATAGATAGAAGTGTGAATGGCTTCACATTTTTCCAAACATGAGTTGGATGCTTTCCAGCAAGTACATCCGTAGTTAAGAGTAACTGAGATGATTCTAGAATCATGTCCTTAGGGACAGAAAGCAAAGTAATATAACCACAGAGCAGAGAAAGTATAACTTCATAAGATTCAGTACAAAATGTGAAGGAATATCTCTACAGTACACTTAATGTCAGTACATAGTGTGATTAATCCTCTGAGAACACAAAAGTTTCTTACTCCCCCTGGGACACAGAGGGAGGTCCAGGGATCCTGATGTACTCAGCACTGTTCAAGAATGGCTTTGGAATATTTGATCATATTGGGAAAAATGCACTTTTTGGTGATGATTGATCAGAACAGCCACAGCCAACATTCTAGTTTCACTTCTGTTGCTGTGATCAAAAACAAAACAAAACCAAATAAACAAGTAAAAATCAATTAAAACCTTGACAAAAATCAACTTAAGAACCAAAAGGGAATATTTTATCTTAAATATCTATGTAGATGGATTATAACCCAGCAACATGGCTACTCTGAATGGAATATAGACTCACTCTTAGCACACACCTTTTATCCCAAACTATGAACATGATGTTAGCTTGTAGAAGGAAAAACCCATGTTGGAAAGCGATGTCTAATTGAAAGGCATACAAAGTGGCAAATCAGAGAAAGATTTGATAGAATAGGATATGTCCAGCTATCATGAGAAAAAACAAGAAAGAGAGGTGAGTTAAGAGAGAGCAGCCCAGAAATAGGAGGAGAAGGAGGCAGTTTTCTAGGAGAGTTTTACAGACAGGTTGAAGACAGAACAAGCTAGACTCAGGTGAAGACAGAATGAGCCAGAGCATGATAAGGACCCAGAAGATTAGAACAGATTGCTAGAGTTAGTTTGAGGCCAAGTAGAACAATTCAGTCAGAAGCTGAGAGAGAAGCCAGTGTGAATCAGTCAATTTGAAGAGGAGTTTGAACCAGAATAGCTGAGTCAATCCAGCTAACAGAGTTCAGAAAGAACTAGAAAAAGTAAGTGTACTCAACAGTAAGTCTCAGAGGGTGAAAATATTCTAGGTTTAGATTAGATTGTACAGAGGCTTGAAGCTTCTAGGATTAGGCCTAGGTAGGCAGACAAAGACAACAATTACCACAGGAGAATAAAAGTTACGTTTTCATTTCCAGATTATATTATATCATTTTGGAGAAGTTGAGGAAGGAATTTCAAATAACTAGTCAGAACACACTCACAGTTAAAAGCAAAGACAAATTAATACACACACACTCACTTGCTTATTCTCTTCTGGATTCTTATGTAAGTCAGGAAATTCTGCCTAGGAATGGTACCACTCACAGTGGACTCTACCTTTGCATAGCAGTTAACCTGATTAACAACTTTGTGTCCCCACAGACATGCTCACAGGTCAACTCGGTAATCCCTCATTTAGACGGTCTTCACAGGTGTTCTAGGTTCTATCAAGCTGACAAAGCTAACCACAAGTAATACTAGCTCTGTTAAACATTTTTAAGGCTATTATGAGGAAGAAGATGAGTATGATGGCTAGTCTTGAGTGTCAACTTGACTACATCTGGAAGTAACTAAAACCCTTGCATCTGGCTAGGTCTGTAAGATATTTTCCTTCTTGGATCACTTAAGTGGAAAGGTCTACCATAAACCTAGGCCATATCTTCTGGTGGGAGCCCACATAAAAGAACATGAAAGAAGAAAGATTTTTCTTTTTGCTTGCTTGCCCTTACTCTTACTGACAAGTTCATCTTTTGATGCTATTAGAACCAGCTACTTTGAGAATCCAGTGTATACTGATGATCAGCAGCTCTCTATGAATCTTGCAAATTCCAGCACCAGATTAGGACTGCTGAGTCCCTCAGTCTTGTGGACTTAACTACCAGATAGTTTGTCTTTCCTTTGAGAGACAGCCATTATTAGAGTAGCTGGACCAAATCTGTAAGCCACTCTAATAAATCACACCACTTAAAATTGTCTTTAGTTTTTGAGATCATAATAGAATTGTATCATTTTTTCCTTTCCTTTCCTTCCTCTAAACTCTCTTGGATATTGCTTCTTGCTCTTTTTCAAATTCTCTTTGTTTATTAATTGTTATATATGTACTCTTACATACCTAAGTACAACCTGCTCAGTATGTATATGTTACTCCTTTTAAAATATGCCATCCTATCAGTTCTTTTCCTGAACTAATACAATAAGATAAATTCCTTTGGTGAGATTTTCCCTAGTCAGCTAATATTAGAAAGGCATGTATGCAAAAACAATAATATAATATGATAATATAATACTAATATGATGTGCCTATAGGATTTCAAGTATTTTTTTATATAAAAAAGTCCAATTGTTTTATAAACTTTTGTGTTTCTTTTATCACATATTGAGAGAAATGTTTTAAAGTTTCCTAGGAAAGGTTTCTTCATGAGGAGAGAAGGCTATACTTACCTGAGGGTATAAAGACTGATATTTACAGTGTGGGTAGGGATCATGATTATTTATTTAAATTGTAGTTATGGATTCTCCACCTAGATTCTTAGGTTTAATTCTTTGTTTGAATTTGGCCTTATGATTTATACCAAACTATACTGCTGTGAGGCCAGCTTCAGTGTACTCTTCCTCCATTATGGCCACAAAGACTTGCATCCAGATCTGATGTAAAAAGTAACTAGAGGGTCTAATTTTAAAACTTTGCCCACATTTTAAATTATAAAATTCTACTAGGGTGCATGTTGAATATTGTGTTGCTGTATTTTTTTTAATTTTCTATTATCTTAATTCCTTTTTTTGTTTGTTTTTTTGTTTTTTGTTTTTTTTATAATTTATTTTTTCTCAAATCGTAATTCATTCACACAGGGGTTATAAACACAGAAAGGCAGGATGTGGGGAAGGGAATAAGACTGGAGAGTGGGTGTTCAGGGGGAATACAGATATCTTCAGAACCAGGTATCGGCTGGGTGAAGGTTCAGGGGACAAGTCACTATGACTCTGCCTATGACTCGCTTGTTCTTATCTAAGTTGGTATTGTTTGCAAAGGCTACCTATTTACAAGGTCTATGGCTATTCAGGCTTGTAGATTTCCACAAAAGCTGCCTGTTTCCATTAGCTTATAGTCATCTGTTTCAGTATTTTTCCACTGAGACTCAAGACTTGGTGTTAGCATACATGTATGACAGGCCTATTGCTGATTTTAGGCCTATGGTTGATTTTAGGCCTTCAATGTGTAAGCAGGGCTGCCCCTGACATCTCCTCCCTTCTCTAAGTATAGAAAGGCTGTGGCAATTCTAAACTTGTGAAGGCGGGGATAGAGGCCTGACCTCCAGTAATTTAAGGGGACCTTGTAATGGCTCCAGTCCCCCTGTCGTTGTCCAGTGAGGCATGAGGGCCACACCCATCCCGATGTCTTTTTCCTGGAGAGGGGATACTTTTGACATCAACCCCTATGCAGTCAGGCTTGTCTCTCAGGGAACCCAGAGAGATATTTTTATCTTTTATTTATATTCCCTTGCAGTGCTTAGCCTCGCAGCCTAAGCAAGAATTCAGATTGCCTGTCAGAGGGAGTTCTGGGTGGCCCCTCTCTGCTTGGTCTAGGGGCAGAAGTCCCCTATTTTAGGTTGGTTGGAAATGGGTTTTGGAAACACCCTGTATAAAGTACCAACCTCATCTTGAGTCTCGTGGTCCTCCATAGCTAACTTATGATAATGTATCTGAATAGGTTTTGCTACCAAATTATTTATCTGTTGTATCACAGAGTTAGTCTGCCTATTTGAGGCCCAGGGACCAGCAGAAATAAGCAAAACGAACCCAAATAATGGTCCCAAGATGGAAGGAAATAGGGTTGACAACCTTGGAGAGGCTGAAAACCAATTCTTGTACCAGCATTCATCTGTCTCTTTCTCTCTCTGATTTTTCTCAGGGCATTCACTGACCTATTTTCATGCTCTCTTTAACCCTCCTTGTCTTGTCTATGTAAAGGCAACCTTCTTCTTTAAGGGCTGTACACAGTCAAGAGCTGTACACAGCCTTTTCTATTGTGATAGAGAAAATCGAGTCCCATAAGGATCTTTGGGATTTTAGGAGGTCTCTTCAGACAGTGAAATGAGGGATTTCTTCAGATTAGTGATGTCAATCTCTAGCTGTTTGATGTTCTTGTCAGTGGCCCTTCAAAGGTCGGAGTAGTATAATTTCGGAGGCCAGCATCTGGATTAGAACTTCTAACAGCAGACATCACGGGTGGTTCATCTTTACCTGGAAAGGAAAAGAAGGAAATTCTCAGGGAGATTTCTCTTCCCTGGATTTAAATTGTTATTCATCTTATTTATGGTTGGGCCTGGCTTTGAGGGGGTATCTATTTATTTCATTAATCTTTTTGGTACCCGGTTAGCTGAGCCTTCTGTGGTATCAAACAGGCATATAAATCCTCGGCCATATAAGGGAACTGGGTCTGGGCCATTCCCTTTAAGGGTAAGAGGGTTCTTCCCCATATCTCTGGCAAAGTTTTTGTTGGTCTTGGTGGTGCCAGCGGCAGACAACAGCAGATTTGCCATGAGCTTCCAGCTTTAGAGAGTTAAAAGTGAACAAGGCATGATAGAGAGTATTTCAGGGGGACTCCTTCTGGGGGGAGGTACCGTTCCCTCTTTTGTTTTTAAAGTCAAATTTTCAGAGTTCTTGTAAAATCAGTACAGAAACACCAACAGTCGCTCCTTCCAGACTCAGAGTCATGAAGACCTTATTTAAAGATATATAAATCTATATTAATAATCTTTTGTCAAAGGACTGTTATATCACTGTCGACAACTAATCAGGCTTATAATATATCGATTAGTAGATTAGTAATAGCTTCTTCTACTTTTTGTGAGATTACCTCTCTTTTGTCAATTAACTGTTCAGGACAATTAGGATTTGCATCTCTCTTGAGAATATTGAACAGAGACTTAAATTCTTTTGTGGAGAGCTTACAAATAGGATCTTAGCCAATTAACAACTCCTAAAAACTTTTGAAAATAATTTAAAATAATAAACTCTCTCTCTCTCTCTTTTTTGGACCCTTTATCTGTGTTTTTTTTTTATATTATACGTATTTACTTTTCAATGTTATCTTCTCTCCCATTCTCCCCCAAAACCCCTTATCCCATACCCCCTCCTCCTATTTTTATGAGGGTGTGCTCCAAACATCCTCCCAGTCCCATCTCCCTGCTCTCGAATTCCCAAACAGTAGGGGATCTGAACTTTCGAGGACCATGGCCCTCCACTTTCACTGAAGTCTGACATGGTCACCCTCAATTACAGGTGGAGACATGAGTCCCTCCCTTTGTGCTCTCTGGCTGGCAGTTTAGACTTTGGGAGCTCTGGTTGAAACTTTTGATACTCCTTCTAGAAAGGACCAAAGCACCCACACTTTGGTCTTCCTTCTTCTTCATGAGTTTTATGTGGTCTATACGTTGTTTCTTAGATATTATGAGCTTTTGGGCTAATATCCACTTATCAGTGAGTGCATACCATGTATGTTGTTTTTAAATTGGGTCACCTCACTCAAGATGATATTTTCCAGCTCCATCCATTTGCCTAAGAATTTCATGAACTCATTGTTTTTAATAGCTGAGTAGTACTCCATTGTATAAATGTAACACATTTTCTGCATCCATTCTTCTGTTGAAGGGCATCTGGGTTCTTTCCAACTTCTGGCTATTATAAATAAGGCTGCTATGAACATGGTGGAGCATGTGTCCCTGTTGTATGTTGAAACACCTTTTGGGTATATGCCCAGGAGTGGCACAGCTGGGTCCTCAGGTAACACTATGTTCAATTTTCTGAGATACCACCAGACTGCCTTCCATAATGGTTGTACCAGTTTACCATCCCACCAACAGTGGAGGAGTGTTCCTCTTTCTCAACATCCTTGCCAACATCTGCTGTCACCTGTGTTTTTGATCTTAGCTGTTCTGACTGGTGTGAGGTGGAATCACAGTGCTGTTTTCATTTGCATTTCCCTGATGACTAGGGATGCTGAACACTTCTTTAGGTGCTTCTCAACCATTCGAGCTTCCTCAGTTGAGAATTCTTTGTTCAGGTCTGTGCTCCATTTTTTAATAGGGTTCTTTGATTGTCTAGAGTCTAATTTCTTCAGTTCTTTGTATACCTTGGATATTAGCCCTTTATCAGATGTAAGGTTGGTGAAGATCTTTTCCCAATCTGTTGGTTGCCACTTTGTCCTATTGACTGTGTCCTTTGCTTTACAGGAGCTGTGCAGTTTCATGAGGTCCCACTTGTCAATTCTTGGTCTTAGAGCACAAGCCATTGGTGTTCTGTTCAGGAACTTTTCTCCTGCGCCCATGTGTTCGACGCTTTTCCCCAGTTTCTCTTCTATTAGTTTCAGTGTAACTGGTTTTAGGTGGAGATCCTTGATCCACTTGGAATTGAGCTTTGTACAAGGAGATAAGTATGGATCAATTTGCATTCTTCTACATGGTGACCTCCAGTTGGACCAGCACCATTTGTTGAAAATGCTGTCTTTTTTCGACTGGATGGTTTTAGCTCCTTTGTCAAAAGTAGGTGTGTGGGTTCATTTCTGGGTCTTCTATTCTATTCCATTGATCCTCCTGCCTATCTCTGCTCCAATACCATGCAGTTTTTATCACTATTGCTTTGTAGTACAGCTTGAAGTCAGGGATGGTGATTCCCCCAGAAGTTCTTTTGTTGTTGAGAGTAGTTTTCGCTATCCTGGGTTTTTTGTTATTCCAAATGAATTTTAAGATTGCTCTTTCTATTCTGTGAAGAATTGAGTGGGAATTTTAATGGGGATTGCATTAAATCTGTAGATGGCTTTTGGCAAAATAGGCATTTTTACTATATTAATCCTTCCAATCCATGAGCATGGGAGATCTTTCCATCTTCTGAGATCTGCTTCAGTTTCTTTCTTCAGGGGCATGAAGTTCTTGTCATACAGGTCTTTTACTTGCTTGGTTAGGTTCACACCAAGGTATTTTATATTATCTGTGACTATTGTGAAGGGTGTCATTTCCATAATTTCTTTCTCAGCCAGTTTATCTTTTGAGTAGAGGAAGATTACTGATTTGCTTGAGTTAATTTTATATCCAACCACTAAAGTTGTTTATCAGGTTTAAGAGTTCGCTGGTGGAAGTTTTGGGGTCACTTAAGTATACTATCATATCATCTGCAAATAGTGAGATTTTGACTTCTTCTTTTCCAATTTGTATCCCTTTGACCTCCTTGTGTTGCCTACTTGCTCTGGCTAGGACTTCCAATACTATATTGAATAAGTAGGGGGAGAGTGGGCAGCCTTGCCTAGTCCCTGATTTTAGTGGGATTGCTTCAAGTTTCTCTCCATTTAGTTTGATGCTGGCTACTGGTTTGCTGTATATTGCTTTTACTATGTTTAGGTATGGCCCTTGAATTCCTGATCTTTCCAAGACTTTTATCATGAAGGGGTGTTGAATTTTGTCAAATGCTTTCTCAGCATCTAGTGATATGATCATGTGTTTTTTTTCTTTGAGTTTGTTTATATAGTGGATTACATTGATGGATTTCTGTATGTTGAACCAATCCTGCATTCCTGGGATAAAGCCTACTTGATCATAATGGATAATTGTTTTTGATGTGTTCTTGGATTCGGTTCACTAGAATTTTATTGAGTAATTTTGCATCAATGTTCATAAG